AGCCATGATTGCAATAATCTCTATGCCAAGATATTCTTTTTCAGAGTCTGCTTGTGACCCCTTTTACCTGTCAATCTTACCTGCTTTTACGAATGTAACAATCCAGATATCATCCTCCCTAGTCGTCCATGTTTTAAGACGTTCAGTATTTTCAGACATGCAATGATACAGGTTGATTCCTTGATACTCCTCATCGGGCAGGTTCAAGAGATCTCTTTTCTGCCATAGCTGCTGATCTGTGTATCAAGTTGTTAACATGGACTATGTTTCAAGTATCTGTTCCCCACGTTTATTTTGCGTTCGACTTTTGCCTCTAGGCATAGTTTCGATCTACATTTCATGCAAGCTAGGCTTTCAAATGTAAAGTGCAGTCCAAGATTTTGTTTTGTTTTGTTTATTAGGGTTTGGCAAGTTGCAGAAAAGCGAACTGGTCGTGGCGCCAATAAACTAAAGAAGAAAATTTCTCGTCATTCCTACAAACCCTAAATTAAGACTGTCGAATTACATATACTACTTACATTCCTCAAAAGTGGTATATTTATCCATGATTCATGCAGAATGTTGCTGCCTTAACTGAGCTTACAGTTCCTGAAAAGAAAAAAATAGATAACATTATCAAACGTGCCACAGAAGAAGATAAAGGCTTGTAAAACCGTCAAAAGCCTTATCTTAATGAGCCCCGAGCTGGACCAAAATGTCCAATTTGTCTCGACAATGGACATTCCCATAGGTTTGTACAGCGAATGTCTGATTTGTCTCGACAGTGGACATTCCCATAGGTTTGTACAGCGAATGTCTGATTTGTCTCGACACAGTGGACATTGCCATGGGTTTGTACAGCGAGTGTCTAATTTGTCTCGACATTGGACATTCCCATAGGTTTGTACAGCGAGTGTCTGATTTGTCTCGACATTGGACATTCCCATAGGTTTGTACAGCGAGTGTCTGATTTGTCTCGACACAGTGGACATTCCCATAGGTTTGTACAGCGAGTGTCTGATTTGTCTCGACATTGGACATTCCCATAGGTTTGTACAGCAAATGTCTGATTTGTCTCGACATTGGACATTCCCATAGGTTTGTACAGCGAATGTCTGATTCGTCTCGACATTGGACATTCCCATAGGTTTGTACAGCGAGTGTCTGATTTGTCTCGACACAGTGGACATTGCCATGGGTTTGTACAGCGAGTGTCTGATTTGTCTCGACATTGGACATTCCCATGGGTTTGTACAGCGTGTCTGATTTTTCTCGACACATGGACATTCCCTATACAGTCCTGTTTTTACACTGCAACAGAGCTATGTTAGCGGGGCCAATTTGTATCTTTTCAGAAACACAAGCTGCCAGTCCTGCCATGCGCCACCCTTCATTCGAAACAACAAATGCCACCTGACCTCTCTTGCTGTCGTTAATTCAAACTGGTTCAAACCTAGCTGCACACTAAAACAATTAAAAACAGCATTAATATTCCTACATGCCTATTTTCAGATGTATTAGGAAGCAGAACTATTTTGGGCCCAACAATTGCACACCCAGCTTATACCAAACAACAATTACAGTTAGAAAGCAAAGTCCAAACTCCTAATCCGAGCAGGACCGTTATCACCTAATAACGTGCTTCATGGGTGAACAAAACATGCGCTCTTCATCATTACGCTGTTGAGGGGGTGCTACTGCACGGAGTGATTGGCCTACAACTGCTTACTGCGATTCGGTGCTTCTTAACCTTTTTATTTATTCGGGCAAAACGAAAATAATGCATATGTTGCAACATTTAACAATGCATGTCATGTTGCAAATGCTCAATGTTGGGTTACTTCGAACTTCTTAATGGAGCACCTATTACCTAATCGAAAAAGGTGTTGAAATAAAAAGCAAAGTATGCATCTATTAATTAAAAAAAACAGCCCAAATTCGCAGGATGCAACAATTTCAAGAGAAGCATTCTAGCCAATGAAGTGAGTACATGTACCGTTAAATACTTTACCACATGTAAACCAAATTCTGTATTTCATCTCATACAGAATATTTAAACAAAAGATCAAAAGAAACGAAATTATATTTCATTTAAAATGCTGCCTAGAAACATACAGGCATTATTGAATAACGAAATGATCATGCAAACTCTAAATACCACCATAATATTGCATAAATTTCTGTTTGAATCTGTACAGCGGGCTAAAGCAAACAAAGCCAGTACAAAACCTAAAATATCATTTCTTTGTTTTTAATTTATCCGCTACTGGATAGGTATAAAAATACAATCAACATGGTCCATAATTTTTCAAAAGTTCACAGTTTTCACTCGTACAAGGTTTTGAAAAGTTCATACATTTCACGCAAGTGAGTAGTCTTTCTCTTGTAAACTGGAACGGCAGGCAAGACGTAATTTACTACATGACATTTTCTTTCAAGAAATTTGTCTCTGCAAACTTCCTGAGTAGTGCCATCCAATTGTCTACTCGAAGTCAAAGGTCAGCCCAGTCCCATGCAACTTGTCTCGAATGAGGGCGTCCATTGCTTCATTCTGCGCAATGTGAAGTGGGACTTCCTGTCCCAGCACCTTTCCTAAAATGACCCAAAATATGAATAATTAACTTCAACTGATGTCCCCGTGGTGGTTGACGTGTTTACTAAAGCTCTCTCTCGAACGTTCGGTTTTTTTTTTTCATTTTCCCCAAGAGCTCCTTTTAGATTTTTTCACAAGTTTTTTCTTGGAGAAGATTTGTAAATATTCCTTTGGCTCTCTGTGTATCAATTGAAAGGTTGTGAAATGGAACTGGTTCTTGAACTCAGGTCATATCTTGAACACTGGAGGAGCTTTATGCGTTGTGCAAATGATATGGCTAGGACTTCAGGTAACACTCGTAACAACGAAGGTGCAGAAACGGTTTGAACCACTCTTACCAATGGCTGACATACAGGACCCATACCACCGGAAGTCTTCTTGGCACTGATAATATTCTCATTACAACGTTGAGGGGGTGCTTCTGCACGGGGGTCATTGATGTACAGCCGCTTTTTACGACGATTCCAGGTTCTTCTGTTTCGACATCCTTGTCTTTGTGGCACTTTGAGGCACATTAGCGTGTACAAGTACATCGTTCCAACTCGCCTAACCCTCGTCGGATTGGTGTTATTCCTTTAAACGTGGTGTGACCTACTGCACTGGCCTGATATGCATGTACTCCTGATTGTACAAAATAGCATGCGACTTTACTATAAAAACCGGCAATCATGTTATGCCATTTGGGGGGGATCCAAAGTTTTCAACATTTTCGCGGTCATACAGAGCGTTCAAAGGGGGGCGGAGGCTGCATACGACATTATTGTTGGGTCCTGTAAAAGTTTATTGTTAGAAGTATTCTCATTGAGGCGTATTTGTCAAAAGCAAGCATTACAAGTAACTACCAGTCGCGCACTGAGAGCTGGCTCCGATAAAGAGTAAACCCGCAAGGTTTCGCATGCATCGTGCATGAACTGTACAGTACTTTCAGGCCCACCCGCCGTGGCAGTGCCCAGTACCATGCCGGTACTTATACATCACGTAGATATTCGGTGTGGGCATTTTTTTCATTTTGGACGAAAAAGTACAATCACTGCTAAAGTGTATGAATCAGCGTGCACCATACACGCTATGGGATGGGATGGATGTGACACAGGGGTCAGTGAATCTACGCATTGAGCCATAAAACACATCCACACGCTACCACCGCACGTGTGATAGACCGGGTGCAGACATGCACAAGGCCCCCTATGTGTTCCTTCCTCCATGGTACATGTAACTTGTAGCACAAGTTGAGCCCGAATAAACATGAGTGGAACGGAAAAGTTCTATTCATGACCCCCCCCCCAAATCGATTCAATTTAAGAGTAATTATCCATCCCAGGCGATTCTACAACCATTCGAGACATCAATAATTTACTACTTATATCAGATGCAGCTGGAAAAATAACATTGAAAGTGTAAATTACCCGAATGGTTCGGCCAGTTTGCACTCGCTCCCGATGGACAGGGGCAGGGCCCGTTTTGAAAGAGCGCCCTCATGTGCTGAACATAAAGAGTTATGAATATATTGAGGACCGATCCCCACATAACAGAAACAGAACTAAAGCAAATTAAGGGGCTATTTGTAAAAGCATTTGCATTGTGATAAATTTTGCGACCCTTCAATTCAGTTTGTGAGTACAGGCGCAAACAGAAACGCTATTGCGTGATGGTATCCGTAGGATTTAAAAGAGTATTATTTTTTATAAGCTTAACAACTGTTACCGGCTACTATTTTCCTTTTTGATTTGGTACAAACGGAGGTAAAAGCTTACTTGTTGTTTGTAGAAAGCATGAAATGCACAATTTGTAGCATAATAAACATACCAAGGGCGTTCATCTCAAAGACGTACAAATTCTTTCATTGTAAAATTGTAGAAGACAGTTCGTACATACAAAAAAGTACAAACAATACAAACAGCTCAGTTATTTACCGTGTTGGGGCTTATATTTGTTACGTATAAGAAGTAGTAAGCGAAAGAATTTAATTTTGTTGAATTGTGAAATTTCTCATGCTTCTTTCAAAGTACACTCGACATAATTCCTAGACCTCTTGGAACAGATATCCCAGTCTTTCTCTTAGCCATCCTTTAGAAATATAAGAAGCTGAACTGAGATTTGAAAAGGCGGAAAACAAAGAAAGAACTTTTACAGAATGTAACGATTTCGAGAGAAGCACCGTGTAGCCAATAAAGTTAGCACCGCCTTCACTACTTTACTTCAATCATAACGAATATCTAAGAAATAAAGAATAAACAGAAGAGCATTTCATTGAAAATACTGTAGAGAGACGTGATTGCTTTAAATGAAATGCTAGAGTTCACTGAAACCATGCATTACCATATAGATTTTATTTTGAAATAAAATGAATAATAAATGAAATAAAAAACAACGAATCTATCAATTCAAAGAAAAAAAGGTTTCAGCATGCAACAGTTTTCAAGAGAAGCTGATGAAATCAGGACCGTCAAGTATTTTACGACAATCACACAGAATCTTTAAACAAAAATTCAGAGGAAACAAAAATACATTTAATGAAAAAATGCTGCCGAGAAATATCAAGGCATTAATAGATGAGGAAATGATAACACGAGCAAAATATAACCATAACATTGCATAACTTTTCTTTTTGCATTTATTGGTTAAAGCAAACGAAGCTAGTATTTCTTTGTTTATTTATCCTGGACGGATTAAAAAAGCATTGAACATGGTCCATAGTTTTTCAAATGTGAGCAGTTTTAACTCATGCAAGGTTTTTATAAGTTCTGAGGCCTACATTTCATTTAAATGAGTAGTCTTAAACTGGAATGGAATGCAAGACGTAATTTACTACATGACGTTTTCATTCAATACGAAATCTTTCTTTGCGTCGTTGGATGCTTCCCGAGCACAGCCATCTGATTGCCTACTCGAAGTCAAAAGTCAGCCCTGTCCCATGCAACTTGTCTTGAATGAGGGCGTCCATTGCTTCATTCTGCGCAACCTTGAAGTGGGATTTCCAGTCGCCAACCTTTCCTGAAATTACCCCCGAAAAAATCAATGCAAAAATTACTGAACTTCAACTATGTGTGTATAGCAGTTAGTTTACGTGTTTTAATAAAGCTTTCCTGCGAACGTAATGTTATTAATCATTTTCCCTTAAAACTCCTTTTTGATTTTAGTAGGCACCTCCTAGGAAGAGAATTTGTAGGATTCCTGTTGCTCTTTGTGTATAGAGTGGAGGGTTGTAAATTGAAAATGGCTTTTGAACTGAGGTCCTTCCCTGATTTTTGGACAGAGCTATCATGCGTTGAGCAAAGGGTGTGGCAGTAGATCATGTTAACACTCGTGTTAAGAAGAACAGTTTGAACCACTCTTACCAATGGCTGACCTATTAGCCCACAGCCACGGCTGATATTTTAGCCACATTATGTCCTACAAATCTCACATACTGGCCGTTCTATGTACACGTTAAAGTACCAATATACTCGCAGGAATGATTTTCTGAGAACCTCGTAGTTATCACCATGTAAATTTCTGTGTCAAGTTGTTCTTTGCTAGGTATATTTCTTACCGACCTTTTCTCATGAAAGAGCTTCCTTCAGGCAAGTCTTTCTTATCAAACAGGCTGTCGAGTTGAGCCATCTTGTTATTCTTCATATTACTGAACGTGCAGTGCTCCGTAATGGCATCGATTGTCTCATTAGACAGATTCTTGTCGAGAAATCGACTGATCTTCTCAACAGTGCCTCGCAAATCCTTAAACAGAAATATAGAACTTGTAAATGACATTTTTCAAACTGAAAAATTGTACCTGTTTGCAAGAAACCTACAGGCAAATGTTCTGTAAAAGACAGGATGAAAAACAACGTCGATGTGTGGAGGGCCAGTACAATATTCTGGTGGTTATCGGTTCAATTGGTTCAAAGTCCATATTTTATTTGAAGTTTTAAATTCGATGTACACTTACCTTTTTCATATCTTCAAATCGCAGAACTAGAATATTCTCGTCATGTCTTCGTTTCCAGAAGTACAGGTAATGATCCCACCAAGGCCCATAGTGATCTTGGATTGAAACAGGCAACATTGTCTTGAAAACGAAATTGTTCAATGAACGATAATTATGTGGGATTTCAGAGTCTGTTGGCAACAGCAGTAGTATGCACTGTGCCAAAAATAGAAATGAACAGCACTTACTCTTTCCTTCCTGCAATTCCTCGAAGAACTCATCAAACGTCTGGGCAAGTACTGCAGGGTCCTTTTGGGCCATTTTAGAAAAATAAAAGAAAGACACCGCAACATCCTTCGGGTTCCTCAAGACGTAGACAATCTTGGGTTTCTTCTCCCATATCTGAGGAGGTAGGAGCTGACCAGGCAGATGACTTTTGAGAAGCCGTGGTGAAGGCGTTTCCGCCGCAATTTGGAGAGTATCTGGGAGCTGTATGTGACGATCGAGGGAATTTTCAAGAAAGACAGTCCTTGCAGCGATCGAGGGATAAATTCTTTCGTTTTGTCTCTTAGGAACTTTAATTTTGAGGCGTTTGGAAATGAAGTTCTTACAGTCGCACTGTCAACCTCTGATGCGTACTTTATAGCATAATTAAAAACCGCACAGGATGGGATTTACGGGTTTACAATACCGCTTTCTTGGGAATTTTGAGTAATTAGGTTTCAGAAGCTCTCCTATTCCAAATCAAAACAATTCTAGGTATTCCAAGCTACACATGTAGACCATGGGCCAGAAATCGTAGCTTCACTGGAATTCCTTTCTCACTTTCGAGTGGCAACATGTGGTCAATATGAAGGTGCTGAATTCAAATCTGCCTGTTCCCACCTCGTTGGACTGCTCCCAAGGTCACCACAAGAGGGCACTAGTTCAATTTGTGTCACTTCGTGAAACCAAAACTGCTCTAGTCACACTGGCACGAAAGTGAAGATGTGTGTTAGTTTGTGGTGTTTGTGACGAATTATTCAGTCAGATTGCATTTACAAAAAATCCTCAACTTGCAGTGAAATGTAGTCAGTAGTCCACCTTGCGTGTTAGAGGTACTGCAAAATTACATGTATTTTCCGATTCTGAGCTTTTAATTTTAACTAAGAGGAATGACAAAAGTGATGAGGACACTTTTCATACTTCTGGCTCGGTTAAACCAGTTCTGGATTGCAATAAAAAGGTCTTCACAAAAAAAAGTAACCGCATGAAAATCCATTTTCAGCCATGTTAACAAGCTGATTTTCTAATTGAGAATTTCTTAGAGAAAAATAGTTCATAAATAAAAATTTCATAACTAATTCCAGCAAATTAAAAAGTAGAACATGAGTAAACTGTTACTCAACTTTATCAGCTGTACAGCAAGCTGTCAGCAATACCATCCCCACGCCGCGCACCGACAAAAACATTGTGTCACATTTCTGCTAGGTCAGTATTCTTCAGTTTGTAACGCACCTGTATTTGCATACATTTAACGTGCGATCCAAATTTAGAAAAAAAAAGTGTTCAATTTTCAGCCGATTTTGAAAACAGAAATTGTAATTCATTCGATTAGCTATAAACGTGTATATGATTGTCAAATACGAAAATTATTTGGAATCACACATAGTGGGTGACCTATCGCCCTGTAAATTGTTGCCGGTTTTTTTGGCTCCAGTGATTTTAACAACCTCAAATGTCGAAGTGTGAACTAGAAATCTGGCCTAGTCAGTTTGAGAACAAATATATTTTACCTTTCAAATAGAACTTGTCTTAGAATGCGAACTGAAGAACAGCAGAAAAAGACGGTAGGCTTTTAAATTCAAACGATCCAGAATTAGAAAAGATCTGAAACTAGAAAAACGACTATCATGACTTTATTTGCACGGAAATGCTGTGGGATCAGCATTATGTATTACAGACATAATTTCTTTTTTCCTGAAATTGCATCAGCTTTGTAAATCAGAATCAGCTCTATGATGAGTATTTGAACTGATACAGACAAACCTCGATCCCAAGGACACGAAGGAGAAGCATAATTTAAACCTGACATGACTGACAAACGCTTGGCATGTGATAAGCTTGACATGGAACTTTGGCATGTTTGGAAGACCGAGAAGCCATACCCCGCTTAAATTGCTCGTCTTTTGCTATTTCTACATTTTCCAGAGAAACATCTGTCTACTATCCATCAAACTGTTTCCATTGCGCGCAACATGTCTAATATTTTCACCAACTTATCTCTGTGAATTGTGAAATTTCTCCTGATTCTTCGTAAACACGGCAAACGCCTGTATGCTTGCGGACGGCGCCATGTTCACGTCGAGTGGCACTCGTCCCCAGGTGCAACGGTGGTATTTCATGAGCTCAAATTGATAAAGGATCGAGGTTGGAGACAGCGCCCTTATTGACACATTGAAAAAAGGCGAACAAAACGCGAGCATTTTCGCATTTTTATACCCTTATTTTTCACTTTAAAGAGCAAACCATCAGGATGGCAACAGACAGAATATTGAATCGTAGTATTTTAGGTATTTATTTGAGCAAAAAGTAGGTTGCCACTCGAAACTCTCAACGAACCTGTAAGCTATGATTTCTTGCCCACGGTCTAATGTCGCCTTTCATGAGTTTCCTTGGTCTTCTAAGCTACGATAGTTAAATTATATCTGCCTGCAGGTTCAGCACGACAGGGAATCAAAGGAATGCCAGTAGGAAACATACGCTCTTTAATCGACGCACTTCTTCCGGAAAATCATTCTCAATGAACAGCACCCGGAATGTTGTATGGCTCTTGTTAACAGCTTCCAAGTCACCGTCATGCATTATGCAAGACACAATCTCTTGAGCCCAAGTTGTGCCTTTTACAAAAAATGATAACAATCCTGTAAATAGTGCCAATCATTAGCAAATTGAGGAATTTGAATATAATACCAAGTATAAAGCGCCCAAATCGCATGGTACTCAGAATGTCGCTATCAAGTTTTTAAACAGTTTGGTGATGGCTAAAAGACATTTTTACAAGCCGGAAGAAAAAGAAACAAAGCCTACTGTTTGGGAACACCAACCTTCGCGTTGAGCTTGTAGTGTCTCTTTCATAAAGGTTTTTCCAGAGTCTGTTTCTACCCCATTTACCAGTCTTTCTTACCTGCTTTTACGAATGTCACAATCCAGACGTCATCCTCTCGAACCGTCCATGTTTGGAGACCTTCCACGTTTTTGGCCATACATTGATACAACTTGATTCCTTCGAACTCCTCGTCGGGCAGGTTCATGAGATCTGATTTCTGCCATAACTCCTGATCTGTGGATCAAGTTGATAAGATAGATGATTTTTATCAGCTTACAAGCCAAGTATATGTTCTTCACGCTGATTTTACATGTGAATTCCACCTTGTAGCACAGTTTTGGCCAGGGATTTCATGAAGACCGGGATTTAAACAACATACAAAACGCAACCCACGGGTTGTGGTGGGACTTGGCCGTTGTTTCCACTACTAAATAAAAAGAATTCTCACTCCTAAATAAAGGAATTCTGAGCATTCGTACAAACTTTGAAATTCAAACTGCTTAATTAGTACTCACAGTCCTCAAAGGTGACATATTTATCCATGGTTCTTGCAGAAAGTTGTTGTCTTGATTAAGCTGTCAGTAAAAAATTATCACAAACAATTTGGGTGTATCTGTAACGCTGTTTGGAACATTCAGGGCATATTTGACAGAAAGTAGTATGAACGTTAAAAGAATAGCAAGAGGCGCACCTAAATTATTGTTCAGTATGTGACGAAATGGACTACAAGTAGTGGGCGTGACGATGGCCCGCTTACCTGGTGTACTATGCACCGTCAGTACAAACAATATTCTTTAGATTGTATTCTATTGTGTGTTGAACCCAATCCATTTAACATAGACTGGTCAGTTTGAGGTCGGTACTGGATCAACGAGCGTACAAATACTGTAGTTACAATCAGAGAACACAAAGTCCATGCAAACTTCCATTCCAGGCAGGACTGATATCTTGGATTTGATAATCTAGCACTGATCATGCGCACATCATGCGCTCTTCTTCATTTCAACGTTAAGGTGGTGCTTCTGCACGGAGTCATTGGCGTACACTCGCTTACTACGATTTTGTCCTGTTCCGATTTTTTGTCGTTTGGGTGAAACGGGGACTAATATTACAAACTCTTAATATTTTGAAACATTGAATTTGATGGGCTCAAATGTAACAGAATTGTGGACCAATCTAAGTGAACGATGTTGTGGATGGGATGAGTAGTTTATACGACAGAGTGAAAACACATCCCAGGAAAGTAGTCTTTTATGGTTTCGTGCAAAGCTGAGTGCCTGCATGAATTTTATTTTCATTAGGAATTGCAAAATACAACTTATAATAGGAAATATGTATCAGACATATTCAGTTTTTACGCAGAAAATACAGTCGCCCAAAAAGTAACCATCAACACATTTTAAATCAGGAGTAAATTTAACGTATGTTTGGTACGGCCAGTCATTGACCTGAAATGTCTCTTTTTCAGCGCAAGTATTATACAGCACGGTCGATGTTACGTCAAAAATTATTTATGTTACCCTGTCCAATATTTAAGTTGGAATCAGAAAAACACATCACTGGTCTTGGTTTAAATACTAGGGATTTTGCAGTGTACACAACTGCATGCTTAATGATCGTAGTTTGCATGATAGTGTGTTTTGGAAATTCTTTGGAAAGGAATGATTGAAATAAGTGCAAGTGGGCGATGATGGGGGTGAAATGTACGAAGGCGTGGAAGGAAAAACAAGCCAAATGGTAACGCCTAAATGAACTTCTCAATGGAGTACACGTTATATAAGCGAAAATGAATTGAAAAGGGGTAGGTGGAGAATGTTTTTCAATGCGATTAATTCTGCGACCCCTCAATTTAATTTGTGAGTACAGGCACAGCCGGAAACACTACATTCCAAAATACTATGTTATAATGCAGCCAGTATGAATTGAAAAGAAGAATTTGTTTTACAAAACTAACAACTTTTACCGGTTACTATTTTTTTTTGTACAAAGGGCAGCAAAAGCTTACTCGTTTTAGTTTTGTTTGGGTTTTTGTAGAAGGCACGATATACACAATTTTTAGCATCAAAATATACATACCAAGGGCTTTCATCTCAAAGACGTACAAATTCATTCATTGTACTTGTAGAAGATATTTAGTACATATAAAAATGTACAAACCATACAAACAAGCTAAGTTATTTACTGTGTTGGGGTTTATAGTTGATTGGTATTAGAAAAAGCAAATTTTCAAAATTCAACCCATAATTCAAAAGATAATTTTGCTAGTTTTACCATAAAGGTAATGCGATGAAACGTGAAATTTTTAATGCGTATTTCAAAGTACACTAAGAATTTCTGGACCTTAAAATAGATATCCCAGTTTTACCATCTTTCTGTTAGCCATCCATTAAAAATATAAGAAGCTGAACTAAGATTTGAAAGGCGGGAATCAAAGAAAGACAACCTTCACAGAATGTAACGATTTCGGGAGAAGCACCATGTAGCCAATGAAGTTAGCACCGTCTAATGCTTTACTAATACAATCACAACAATTAATAGTTTAAAAAAAGAATTTTAAAAAGTGCAGTTTATTTAAAATACTGCCGAGAAACATGAAGACATTCAAATGATCATGGCAGACTTCACTGGCACCATGCATTATAACGTAAATGTTGTGCTGTGGGATAAAAAAACAGTGCAAGCACGAAACCTACAATATACCTTTTGTTTAACATGGAAATGTACTAAAACATCCCAAACTGAGTCGGGGTAGCACGTAAGTTACATTCAAATGTGCCTCAATTTAAAAGGAAAACAGTGCTGTCTTCCAAAAGAAAATCAATATTTCCTTTTTGACCCTTCCGAGGTTTCGTGTAAACCCTCCGGGGATTATTTTTTGTACTCCTACTCCAAGAGGAAATAAATGTCCTCTAAATCCCTAATCATGCTTCTTTTCTCATGTTTAATTCCTAAAAGCATTACCTCATTCATAGCGATACACCTTGGATGGCAGTTTGAGTTTATTCATAAGTTGTAAATGATTGCGCTTAAATCAGAGTCGTCTGATAGGACCAAAGCCAATTTGTGGTAATGGGTTTCCAGAGATCTCAATGGACTATACATGTAGTGACATTGTTTTACAAAATTCCTCAAGTAAGGTTTGGTCCTTTTGGTGTTACATATCAGCAGGATTTGGCCGTTGTGAATGGAAAAGACTATTTTATAGGCTTACGTTGGTGCGACTCCTACTGATAAATTTAAATAGTTGATATTTTGTGGACAAAGGTGGTGTATTCCAACAGTTAGTTGATATTGAGTGGATAAGTCTGTGTGTTCCTCGAGCTCTGAACTCCTACACACCAGTAAGAAACTCTGTTGCTTTAACCCTAAAAGAGCCGAGTAATATTGGCTCATCTCACAGCCGTGGGGATGGGGCGGCCTTCACCCCCTTTGGGAAGCATATAGAAACACTCCTTATCATGACAAACATGAAGCTTGATTTCAATCAGACATATGGTTCTGTTGTTTCGGTCATTTGAAGTTCATGGCTACAGGCGTGCACTGGCACGCCTGTACTGAGCAGTGCAGTGGAAAAGTATAATTTTCGGGAAATGCGCGCTGCGTGAGAAGGGTAGGTTCGATTATTGGAAAAACTGTGTCAAAATGACTGAATTAGTCTAAAAGAGTTAGTCTAAAAACTCCTAAAGGTTCAAATCCTGAAAAAATGCACTGCCGCGATATTGGAACAGATGGGGGGGGGTTCCATCCCCCGGCTCTTTTAGGGTTAAGGTTATAAAACCGTCTGGACGTTGCCGTGGAGATAAACCCCTGCATCTTGTTTTAAGTGTCACCAGCGGAGTTTGTCTGCACTGGGAGGTATTTGCATGACGAAGAAAATACAAATATGAAATAGTATCCCTGTAATTTATGTGTCGAAACGTTTTAAACACCATGTTTGTTCAAAACGATTGTTTTCTTTTCCATGACGCTACTCGGTACAACAAAGGCAGACTGTCATTGACGGTGTCACGTGACGTAAAAGGGTCAGATGGGTTCATGTAGCTAGACAGAAGTAGTAGCCTCTTAATGACAAGGTGAGAGAGGAGAAGGATTTAAGGTAATTCGCTCCTAGTCTCAGAATTTCAGGAGCTCCAAACTCTGCGATGACTTCAGGCTCTCGTAGGCGCCAGACGGAAAGAGAGTATACCAAGCAGTGGAGTGAGTTGTCTCCTCCAGGATATCCAAGGTAATGCGAGCCTCCCCGAGGCATTGATTGCTCTCTCGTATCTTTGTTTTGCGCCACAGCATGACCTAAAAGCAAAGAAACAAGAACTGTTTAAAGAAATTGAGGTGTTGCTGGCATCCTTTGATTTTCCTCTAAACGGTGAAACACAAGGATGGGTTTGCAAGACGTACTATGAGGCAAGGCTCTCCATTGAGCTTCGACTGTTCGACCTTTACGCTGTTGTCGTTGTTTAATAGAATTTCATTGGCATATTTACTTGGCATGTAAATCTTACTGAAAGCATCTTTAATGGTATTTGAGGTTTAATTTTGTTGCACATGGAGTTGAAAACCAACCTGAAGCCGCCTCCCTGTAATATCACAAGCCGAGTACTTCAGAGTTTGAGCAAAGTGTGGTTCACACGTGGCATGTATCACCTTGGTCTTTCGTTTGACCAACTGCCTGTCGCCCTCAAGTAGGTACGTCTTGACGTAGGTGTCTGTAAACAGATTGAATTGACGTCATGTCAAATGTGTAATGATATTTAAGAACTACACAATTGTGCAAACTGTGAATTTCTTTGCATTATTACAGGATCCAAGACGTGGTTGCTGTCACGTCTACTCTTGTCCTCGATATATGTAACCAAGTTACCGAGGAGGCCCTACATATTCCAATCTCTGACTTTTGTCTCAGGTTTGCAAAAGCGACAGGTTCTTGGATCCGAATGGACTTAGAAAGTCTTATTGTAAAACTCCTTGTTTACCTAAGGTCTCTGGTTCTCCATGAAACAGCAAACCTGTAGCGCATATGATTTCCACTTCCAGCGATCCTTTGCTAACTGCCATAGCAAGTTTGAGGAATCCACAAGGCCGACCGTCTGAAAAGCATAAGTTTAAATTTTGATTTTTTAAGATTTTACTTGGGGTCATAATTTCAAAATATTCAGTGACAGGCACAGATGGAAATTCGGGAAATCAATTATTAAAGTAAACTTCACGCCTATTGTTTGCTAAACTTCGTTGTCATATGTAGTTTCTCTTCAAATGTGGCATTTATGTATCACATTGCATTTATTTACATAAAAATTAAGCAGTTACTTGTATCTATTGCACTATGTCAAATGATTATTTTCAAGTATAAGTCTAATTAATCGTTGACTCACTGAAGTTTTCTAGGAGGACTTGTCCTGGACCCGGCTCAGTGATTATCCCGTCTTCACCGTCTGGTGCCGGTCTTGGCATAGAGCACGTCGATAGCCTGTGCATACGAAATGAATTCATCTCACTTAACTGTCCCACACCATTCATAACAGTGTCCTGTCCTTTGCTTAAACTTTCCTTTCGAAACTGTATTGCACCCGTAGGCCTTCAACAAAGCTGTGTCATAAGTTGACAAGCTTAGTATTTCCAGAAGTACCATACTTTACTGGCAACACGCGTAAACTTTAACTTAACGCTTTCCTTGGCCTTACATGTAACAGTGATGTGGGTACAACCTCTTCGCATTACCTGCAGTGAGACTGGTACACATTGAATTTCCATATTTAAGACGGTATGCATTGAAAGACCATGGGTTGCTGTTGTGTGTTTGGGAAGAGGAAGCGGAAATACCGATGTTGCAATCTTGATCACTGTTGGCCAGTCACAGCAATGTGTCGTTGGCAGTTGTTTCTAATGCACGCATACTTCATACAAAAGATGACGTAAGTGAACCTTAATTGTTACCCGTACCTGAAATGGTAATCGGAATCCATGCTGTTCCGGCTACCACTACTGTAGCTGGTACAACTCTCCCAGTCGCTGCCCGCTATGCTACTTCCAGCGATACTACTACCAAAGCTGGAGGAACTTCGCTTACGTCTCTCGTTAAACATTTCTGGCCAGGTGTCTTCTGATGGACCGGCAACTGTGTCCAGAAAAAAAGTTGTATTAATTCGTAATATACGTCTAATAGAGTGGAAAGATATCCGCCTCGAGCAGAATATTTGAATATTTGATAATTGATCGAATATTGGGATATTCGGCACAGCCTTAATTCCTGCTGGAACCAGAGTTTAGCGTGACGTTTATGTGCCAGCGGGAATCGTAAGCTTCATTTAACACCATTTTTCTGTCCGGGAGAAACTTTCATCAAGGGGTGGGGGAGCGACCCAAGAGCAGAAGAGCAAAAAATGTTAAACTTACGACTGTGATATTGTTGGTGGTTGTTTGTAAAAAATCAAGGAGAAATATTTACCAAATCTCTCAGTCAACTCATCAAATGAGGACAACTACTGTTGATTACTGTTGATTATCCATAATGCATTATGGCTGTAGTCGAACTAACCAGTGGCTTCTAAAGGTCCATATGTTGTTGTTAGTTACAGCACAGTCTTGAGAGCGGGATTTAGTCTTACCTATGATCTGTGGAAGATCTGGCACCTTGCTGTAGGCATTACTACCAGCGGTGGGGCACGATCGGTGTCTGGCTAGCGGTAGGCGGTCGAAGCGATCCTCGATCTGTAACTGTGATGCTGCCTCCAGAGATAAAGGCATCAACCCCTCGCGACCACGCCCATATTCCTTGACTGGGATTTAACACAAGAAATACTGGCAGGTGAGGTATTTTTCAAGTAAATGTAGACTTAGGTAGAATATTAAATAACGGAGTCGCGGAGCAAGTCATCGAATGCTGTCTAAATAGAGTAACTGGTATGATGTGATCAGCTTACTTTTGCTTGTTCCTTTTTTTTTTAAATTCTTTAGTTACAGGTGTCTCTCATATTGTATTTTGGAATTCTGCGATCCCATTGATATGTGTGTCCATTGCACTGTGATGTGACGAATATTGAACAGAGAATGGCCCCCTTCCTCAGACCTCAATGACATTTAGACAGGTAACCGCCGAAGTTGATAGGATGTTCTATTTACCTGAGTCACTGGGACATCGTGCCAGCTCCTTATGGCTCATAGCCCCAGCTGTCAGGTATGGGGTCAGTAAATGTGGAGCGTCCATCAAGCCGATATCCATTGCCTGGTTATACTGTTGCTGTTGCTGTTGCAGCCGTGCTAGTACCACGCCTGGTGGGACTGTACATGGCAGGTTACCAATGTTTTCATCGTGTTCAGCTAGAGGGAACCAGGTGGGTTTGCCGCTCAGGCACTCGTCTTGCAGATCGATCAGAACCTTTAGGCATATAAAAATATTCCTCTCTGTCAAGACATGTTGTTAGTCCCTTGCGTGAAAATCGCTTTTAATCACTGCAGCCATTATATATTGACCATGTGACCATTTGTGTGGGAAAGAAAACATTTTAGGTGTCAGTTGGCCCCACGGTGAGGCACAATTCAAGAAGTATTATTAAAAGGATTTATAAACATATTTTACGAGACGCATTTTTCGGGAAAAGCACAGTTTTAATTTTTTTAAATTATTGTCAATTTTCTTCTTGGAAAAAAAGGAAATACTTAGATTATCAATGGCGAAAAAAGGAGTTTAATCACACTTAAACTGGAAGATTTGGCTGGAGAAAATACGAGAGAGGAAACTTTTTAAAAAGGTATGCTGAATGATGCAAAATAGTTAGCGTGTATTGAGCAATTTGCCGGATTTATGAAACATGTTAGTATATTTGAACACGAGCATATAATTACTTAATAGTTAATATTAGTCATGTTTCGATAATTGATTGATTAGATTTCCCGGTCTAACTTACCTCTCCTAGAAATAAATTCATGCAATCTGGCCGCTCATCCCAGACTGTGAATTCCAATGACAATCCAGATATCTGCAAAAGTAAGAAACAGACAAAACAACAAAGCCAGGTGAGTCTTAATAATCCTGTTTCTTGTTTCTTCATTTCTTAAATTGGTGTGTTTTCGTGTGGCATTGATACGTTTAAAGCTACAAAAACAAGCACCAGCACTATCTGTAATGCAAAAACACCTGCACACCTGAGAAAGTTAATGTGACATTCAAATCAATCGCTGAGTCTTACTCATTGTTAGTTGAAATTACCTTGGTGTCCTTTCTTACCTCTGCTTGGGAGACATTGGGAAACACGAAAGTCTTATTCCATGTTGGCGTGGCCGTTGCAGGTATCGTTGGTGATCGATACCGGAGACTTTCCCTGATTATACGAAATCCGACGCAGACATGAATTTTAATACAACCCATTGAATGTTAAAAATAAATCTTGAAATGGCCTCTAAAGGGTTCAAATACTATGCGATAAACCTAACAAATACAGCACACTGTTACAGAGACGAGGGCTTTCGGGAGGGACCGCCTCACTGAACTTACAGGGCTAATACGTAGTATTTCCTGGTGAATCGTCGCCGTATGTCATCGATGATGACGTCAAATGACGCCATGTTGAAATGAAACAATTTCCTCGTTATCATGCGAATCGTGTACACTTTTCGTCTTTTACATGCTATTATTCCATGGGATGGCGTATTTATACACCTTTGCCTTTATTGGGAAAGGAAGACTCAGTGCATTTTTACGATACTTTTNTTGCTTTATATCAACACCGCGCCTTATTTGTTGCTTATCTATATCATACCACGTGCTTCTCCGTAGTCGAGACAATACAGTGCTGAGTTATCTCTGTCTATTGAAATTGGTATAAACTCAGTTGTTAAAGGATATGTCGTTTTTTAAAAATCCCTTTGAGATTTGTGTTACCTTTTATAAGGCAGCTGGTAGATATTGACGTAAGGGCTTGGTGGTTGCCCTAATGGATCTCCCTCCCTCACTTTGAGTCCTTTGGCCTCCATCAGAACCACCACCAGTTCCTTGGTTTCTTCACGTAGCGTCAGTTGCATACACAACTCTCCGAGGTTCTGGTTTTCGGCGGGAGTAAGTTCCACTCTTGGCGTGGACGTGCGCACTGTGGTTGCTGCGCTTAAGGTCATCGACGATTGCTTTAGTGTAAAACCAAATGTAATTGATTAACAGCGATGCAGAAAGGAGTAAGGTAGCAAAGCATACTTAGAAAGTATGACAGCTGTTGACACCGGCGCATCAGGTTTTTTTCCGCTTACGTACATTTGAGAGTTTCTGCTAACAGTGTCGGACGTAAGTCAGTCTTGCTGAGAATTAAGAATGTCTTATCCTTACATTTGTCAAAAAAGCCGGACTTCAGGTTGTGATCAGCATTCTTTCAAATGCCGAGAGATGAGATAGCATGGATGGTAGCTCTTGAGGTCGCCAGACATGTGCTTTTAAGTAGCTATGCATGACGACAACATGTGTACCAACGGCGCTGTCAAATGCTGGCTTAATTGTACCGATGATGGTGGAAGCATCATTGCTCCTTCGAAGTGACGCTGAAGTCATTTTCATCATCGTCACCATGCCCGTTCTTTTGATTGCAGGCATGGCTGCAAACCTAGCGTTCATCTTTGTGACATGCTGAGTTCAACGGATGAGCAACGCAACTAATTTCTACCTGGCCCAGCCTGCAGTTACTGACTTGTCCTTCCTGACTACCTTTGTCGGTGGCCAGATGTTCTCTTACTTCGCCTAAGACTGATGTCCCAACTAGCGGTCCATCTAGCTGCGTTCCGATGTTTTTCTTCACTGATTTCTTACACGTAGCTACCTGTTGTCTGGTCACGGTCGTCTCGCTTGAGAAGTACAATGCTGTATGCAATCCCCTTCGGTTTACCAGGACGAAGGGTCGCTGGAGGAGATTCAAACAGCACCTGATGGCTTAGCTGTTCGCGGTGTGGCAGCTATCCCAGGGTACACTTACCATGTCTTCACCCTCACCTGTAACCGATGGCCAAACAACACCACCTTCGCTGATCTCCCAAAGCTTATGGCAACCTGTAACCCCACTTCTAACCAGGCGAGGTTCGCCTATGCCCTGATAGACCTCGTGCTGTTCTCTATCTGCCTCGTGGTTAACGCCAACCTGTACGCTCGGATCATCCGTGCCCTGCAACATCGAGTTGTCAACCGCGTTGGCGTCCGGAACACAGCCCTTAAAACGCTCATCAAGACCCGCAACCAAGTTGCCAAAATGCTCGTAGTCAATGGCTCCATTGTGTTCTGTCTAATGACACCTAATTGAATCTACAGCTTCACTTCTGACATCCTGTCCTTCATTCAGTTCGAAGTTGACCAGATCGAGCACCCTGTCAGCATTATGACCATATTCCGTCAAATCTTTTACTTCTAAATTTCACCTAGTGAATTCTCTCATCAATGCAATCATCTACAATGTCATGAGTGTTCATTATAGAAGAATATTTTTTTGACTTTCAAGTTTAAGTCAACACGAAAGCATAATACTGCCAGGTCGATTCCAATGCATAAAATCCATAAATATAAGACTTCGTTAAAGACCACTCGCTAAAGTGGTTTGGTTGTCTATTGAGAGAGCCAACGGTCTGTAGCCTCGACCTTCAACATTTGGAATGGTACAGTCAAAATCAAGCAATTTTGTCTTCAAAATTGATTGTCAGGTGATCATTCTCAGAGACAGTTTTCTGGACTTAAAACCTTTGGTTATAGTAGCACTGCTGCAAGCGGAGGATATGATCATCACACCAGAACCGTTCTAGGACAGAATTACTCATTCTTAGAGACAAATTACTTACCGGTGGCACAGGAAGTCTTCGCCGGCTGCTAGCCCTCTGAGTTGCCGCTGTGGTGGTCGTATCTTCGGGGGCTGGTGTGAACATTTCTCGGTATTGTTCTGTGTTGATACTATTCCGCATGTCTGTACAAGAGATTCAGGATATTCTTATAACATTTCTAGTGCAGTTTCAAAAGTGGGTAACAAATAGTTATATTTTGTTGTCTTCTTCCAACTAATAGATATATAAAATGATGTGTGAAAAGTAATATTGAAATCAATTTACCTGATTGATCTGTTAAAGGATTTCACAAAGTTCTGTTTTTTTACCATAATATTATTGACGTTTTTCTTCCAACAGTTCGAATAAAAACTGACTTTGCTTTTCCAAAACAAAATCCAAGGCCAGTGTAGTAATGCCATGTACTTTCTATTAAGTGTGCTTAGTTGACATACTGTGCAGTTCGAAGTTCCCGCTTACCAACAGATATCTTTTTCCGTCTGTGATATACCTCTGACTCGATGGATACGGAGCTACCGCGTTTGGTAGTGAGAGTGTCGGTGCCTCTATGCCTGTTGTTAGTTGATAGAATAGTAGTATTAAAAATGTATACTTCAGTTTGATACTGCGTATACGCCTTTTCATCCATGGTATAAAACACTGGTGGGTTTGAACACATCACCCCGAATCCGGAAATGTTGTTGTTTTGGTTTCGTTTTATCTCATTATATCGTCAATTTTTCTATTAGGAAAGGGGAAGGTTGAAATTGCGTATCATCATGTCTACTTACGCCTGATAGCGTACGATTCTTAGCGTCAACTCCTCGCCACACGGCTGGTCCAGTACCTGTCGGACTTGTTCGAAAGTTTTGTTCTCCAGGGACTGACCATTCCATTCCAGTATTTCGTCACCTTAAAGACAGATGATCCAGAATTAGCCACCAGAGCTGTCCACTTCTTGCTAAATCTTTCACTTCTATGATTATTGCCTGATTCAGAGCCTGTTATTTGAAATCTCTTCATGTATATTTTTTTTCATTTTCCCTGTTTCTTTGGACTCGTCGTCTTCACTGTATGCATCTAGAACTTATATTTTAGAACACTGTAAATCATTGCAGAACTTATGAATTTTGTACTGTACAAACAGCTCCAGCATCTCTTTCCACTTCTACCTCATGAATAAATATTTATTTATTCAATAAATGGTGAGTTAGTGAAGATTTCCCAACCTTTATGTACATCCACTTTGTCAGCGGGTCCATCGACGACCACCCTAGTGACAAACGCGCGCAGCCAGCCGTCAGAATCCTGTCGTCCTCCCACTACTTCAAGTCCAAAACCTCGGGCTATCATTAACGATAAAAACCTAAATTAGAAAATTAACACTTAGCTATTGAGTGCTTTGAAAATAGACGTTTTGTAAAACCCAGCTCAGTTAACTTTGATCCACACTGTCTGACAACTGCCGAGCAATTACTAATGAGTTCTGGTATCTTCAAGGGCCGTGTCGTTTACCGTAAAGTTTGCGGCACAAAACTGTTTCACTGTGATAATTCCCTTTGAACTCGCCTCTCTTTCAATGGAAATGTTTATTTGACTCCAGATAAAAAAGTAGAATTGTGGTTTTTGTTCAAACTGAAGGCTATTGTGTATCAGTACAATGTGATAAGAATTTTGTTCGTTCATCTAGTTCTGATGCGTTTTGTTAAATTGCAATGTTGGAGACTAAGTGCTAAGCACCTTTTATTTCACGGAACCTACTTTTACATGATGTGTCTTGTGGATCTTTTTGGATGGTAACTTCTTCTGAGTCATCTCGCACATATATCGTTGTTTCTTGCTGTCAGAGAAGTATAAAAATGTATGAGACAGTTGTTTCGTTGTTTTTTAATAGTATGTTATACTTTCTTTAATTTAAACGGCACGACAAATTTTCATTACCGGTGGTTGTTCTGGAATGTTCAATTCACTCTCTGAGCGTGAGCGGCGTCTGAACCTCTCCATGGCCCGTTGACCAAACTTCCCCATGAAGTCTGCCCTCACACTCCCTGTCCGCTTGTACTTCCCTCTGGCCTCCTTAGCTCTCTCATGAGCCGCGGTAGCAACCTGTTGTCCTTCAGGTGGCGGTTCTTTCGAGGCTACGGCGCCGGAGGGAGACCGCCTGCCGTGAATCGAAGGCCGGCTTCGGCGTCGGTTTGACGGTGAACGCTCGGCTTCTGCTACAGACATTGGCCGCTCATCTTCGCTACCGCTTGCTTGTTTTCCAGGGGACTTCATAGTTTGAGATCCTGCCCATGGAAAGCAAAACAATTGAATTGGGGATTTTAGTTTTGAAAGGCAATCAGGCTTTGTTGTTAACTGGCTTACTGTTTGTACAGCAGTTACACACTGCAAGTAGGATTGAATTTTTGCTACGCTCTAGTTGTCGGGAATATTTCAATTGAAATTGTAATGGCGGACAGAACAATGCCACTTACCAACTTCAGTGAAATTCGAACCCTTAAACCAATAGCTATCATCAAAGTCCAAAATGATGTACTTGACTGTAAACGTTACCTTCAGGACTTTTATCGGTTGCCTCAGTTACTCCGTACCTCCGTCGCCTCAGAGGCCGCCTATGCGAAGCCCGACGCGCGAGGGCGCGACTCATCCACTCGCCTTCATCCGATTCCTGAGTCAGGTTCTCACCGGGTGAGTCACAGGAGATCTGCCGGAGCTGGGAAGAGCGCCGCCGACGCCGCGTCACGGACTTCTTACCGTTGACTGATTCACGAGGGAGGGATTGGCGCAGACAGGTGGACGATGAAGCCTCGGTGTCTGATTTGTAATGCTTGCCTGAGTCCCACGAGTTGCGTTTGATGGCCTCCACCTTACGATGCACAAATCTCTCCTCCTATCAGACACCAAAATGCAATAGCTCCTTGGCGCTCTACCATGCCATCTTTGAATTAAGCAATATTACACAAGTCTGAAGAAAACGGCAGAAGCCGTCGAATGGCCACGGCCCTAGACATTATTGCAAAGATTCTATGGAAGTTTGTCTTTGTAATGTTATGAAATTTACCTTAAACATATTCGTTGGCATGTTTTGCGTTGATTGTAACGACTGCACTCGATTCTTAAGACCAGTCTTAATTAAGAGATTATTTATTTTCGGTTTCCCGGAACCGACCAATTACAGTACTGTCATGAGCCCTTCACAACATTCAAAGTCTAACGTAATCTATGCCTTAAAGCCTTTGGTTATTTTATGCCAAACCAAGAAATCCTCTAAAATGGCTAATTCTGTTTTATAACAGAAATACCATTACTGTGTGCACTGGTGCGGGAATAAGCCGACATATGTTATTTGCCCTGTTGCCCAGGAAACAAATACTCACAGGTAGCCAAATGAGATGTAGTAACTTCCATTTTGATGGGCTCACATCTGACCTTTAAGGCGAAAATTACTTCTTCTTTTCCACCACCCCCTAGACGTATTCCCTGACTGCTTGTTATTTCTTCCGGGAATTTCCCATCACATGCAAGCGACTCCATTTGATTAAATAACACATTAAGTATCCTTCAACAGCCTTACCTTGATGTAAGTCGTTGTAAATGTGTTTTGTTTCTGCAGACCCGCGCGGTCAAGAGTAATTGGAAGCGTGAGCGATAAAAAATTAAAACAAAACAATAAAACACTATTTACATGTAGTGTTTGAAAAAGAACGGCTAGCTATGCCAGCTATTAAAACCTAGCTGGTATTTCCACCACTTTGCTCACCAAATCGGACTGAGCGCTGCGTACTACCCGTCTCCTTGGTGGAGTGCTACCGGGGCTTTGCCTCTCCATACTCGGTATGGACATGTTCCGGGACGGCTGTTCAAGTCCTCTGCTCGCATCGTCTTGGTAATACCAGCGGCCCGTCACGCACAGGTACTCCCGTTGAAGCTTGCATAAGTTACAGCGCCAGCGCTTTTTATGTTTCTGTTGGGTACGAAGACGCGAACAATTTACTCAATTGATATTGAATTACAGGTTTTTGTCTTCAATTAGTTCAATAACATTTGGTTCTGAATGATGTAGTAAATGACGTGCAGGCAAATCCTTTTTAGCTGTATTCATTCATTAACAAAATCAGTGCTCTCAGGAAAACCGTCTTGAATGGAAAAAAAAACAGTGCAGTTGTAATTGTGTAATAAGCTAAACTACCTCCACGATGTGCCAAGAATTGTGCTGAAATTGTGAAGTCAAATCGTGAACCGTGTATTTGTTATTGCTTTTAAGCATAACGTTTTAGCCCTTTTCAATTGAACAGAATATCGGACTCACAAATCTGTGTTTTGGTGTCGGGCTCGTCCCGCCGCCTTCAACCACCTGCGTGGAGCAGTTGGTACACACCCGGTGTAGGCAATCCCCGCACGTGTTACCAAGACCATCTGTGAACTTCCTGACGAAACATAGTCTGCACATGCGTAGATCGTCGTCCTTTGACCTGGGTGGGTGTGATTCCCGGGCTGCTAAGGTGGCCTCATATCGACGAATGGCCTTCTCGATTTGGCTGTCCAATCAGAACCATACGCAAGGAATCAGATATTCGAATTTCATCTCTAAGTATTTTTCCATAAAATAATGTCTCTGCCCGGATGAAAAGTTAATTACCCTTTCATTTTTCGTTTGGAATTGAAATAGCAAAGTGAGAAATAGCTGAAATAATTAGGGTTTTACTTGGTATGATAGCTGTGCCCTTCTACTTTTACCGTACCTTTTTCAAGGACCTTTCTAGCTCAAAATATATCAAAATTTTTCTTTTCTAAATACTGAGACCATTAAATGAACTGAAGAACGTTGAAGTAAGGTTTCTAAAAAAAATCCATGTCAGGTTCATCCAAGGTCACAGATATCATCGATCTCTTTTAATGTATGGGTATTTAAAATATTGTAAATCCTACGTTCCTAATTGTTTTTTACATAAAAACGTGTACTTTGTTCTTTTAAGATATCTTATGAAATAAAAAGGAAGAGAAAGACGATGTCCTTTCTACGCTAAAACTGAAATAATAATGGGACAACAAGGTTGGAGAATGTCGCAACCAAAATCGGCTTACTCCGCTCTGAGCTTTGCTTGTCGCTCAAAAGACTCTTGTTTCTTTAGCACCTTCTGAATAGCACCAATTTCTTCCGGGGTCAAATGTGAAAGATCAAGGTCAGCGAGGGCAGGGGTCGTCGTGGTAGTTGTCTGGCTAGTCTTGATGTCAGAGGACGAAGAGTCCTGCTTTGAGAGCGGCGTTGGCGGCTGTCATAAAAAAGCAACAGTGATGCTGGGTAATATTTAAAGCAGATTATTAACAGCTAAAATAGATGTCATTATTTCCAAGAAAAGTCTAAAAAGAAAAAAACAATGTCTTTATTTTAAGGCATATCAAATTAGAGAAGTGATTTGACATAGAATTAAGATCTGTTTGCTTTGTCGTATCTTGTTTTAGTTCACATATATACAAGAGTAAACACGTTCTTTGTGGTGTTAAAGTAAGGTATCCCTTCTTGGAAAAAAATCATGAAAAGTTTAAGTGGGATATAGATGGAAAGCTTTGCAAGTAAAGCAAATGGTGACTCATTATAGGGAAGATCTTCAACCTTCTCAAACAAAAAGGACAGGCATCCCCTATTATTGTCTTTGTCTTAAGCCTCATCAAGATCACACTCCAAGATGCTAGTGGATTGTTATGACTCTGTTATATCGCTCAGATCAGCGCTCTATCCCATGAAGATGGCACAAACATAATGTTGAATCTAGTTTTAGAGGATATTTTAAAGTTATTTCCAGATCCATACAGCCCGTGTCATTATAGTTGGAAATTTATTCCCCATCCATTCACGAATGGACAGCATTTAATACTTACACCTTTGGAGTGGGCCATGGTCCCTGGTTGCCGCGCAAGGCACATGCGATAATTGTGGCTGGTCCCCGTTCGTCGTAACTAGCGTACACCCATTGGATGATCAGGCACTGCCAAATAATTCTCAGTCCACCGTGAAGATGTCCACCTGTTAGATATTAAACTGGGGACTTTATTGAGAAGCCACATCGTTGCTATAATATTATTATACCCACAACCTGAACACACACAGAAAATTAATTGGAATCCTGATATTAATGTCTTTCACCAAAAGAATAAGAATAAAAATTTCCGCTTCCGAAATCGACGATTAAAACAACCGAACAGAAGTTTTAGATGAAATGGTCGCGATGTGCACTATATTTTCTGCTGTATATGACCATATCCTAATTAGCAGAGACAAACCACTATTATATCTCTCCAATCCTGTCAACAGTTTCTCCTGGACCGTGCGTGTCTGAGACTATTAAGGCCTACCTGTGCGTGGCCCGTAGCAAATCAAGCTATCGAGACTGAAACGAAGACAGCCGATACACGGCAGAAACACAGGTCTCGATTGTTACTAGGAGACCCATGCGATTCACAGTCACTCAACCCAACGGGCATACTTAACATTTCGCTCAGTTACCTACGCATAAACACATATATGTATAATAGACGTTTTCCAAGGATTCGACGGTCTATTTCTGTTTCCTTGTGTAGTTTTTAACGCAGACGCGCCGGCGATGGCTGGCGGGCCTCTGATTGGCTGACACTTCCCGCAGGCCGCTATTGGTCCTTGGAGAGTCCACATATACCCAATTCAAAGTCATTCGGTGTATACATAATTTTAGTCTGTAACCTAGCAACTGTGAAAATCTTTATTCTGGTTTAATGACAGTGTGTTGGAACAGCATCGCCAAGCAACGGTAGATTTATACACAGCGTTGTCTTAAGTATGAACTGACTCGTAACGAACGATCCTTTGGGAGTCTGTGGACAGATCGGGCATAATGACGAAGCACCAGACTACATTAATTCTTACCATCACCGTCAAAATGAGCCCTGACTGAACTATGTTAATCCCTAGAGAGTTTGTACCAGGTGAACATATCTCAGTTCCCTAGGTGACCCTATCGGGCAATCCGTCCCCGATAAGTATTTGTAAAGAGAGTGATTTTTTTTCATAAGATTCTTTCTCAATCAAACATGAAGTTTGTGACTGTAAACTTGTGATATCATCTTATTTAAAGAAAACATTTTCGAGGACAACACAGGAACCTCATCACCCTTTACAGGTTACTCAGATGCATTGTTTGTATGAAGGGTTTTTAATTAAAACACGTTTATAACTCATGTAGCTTTTCACGATGTCAGATATGCCTTACATCTATCAGTTAGTGAATTCCTGGGAATACTCTCCAGAGAATACCTGACAATTTTGTGGTGAGACTTAGGAACAAAACACTTTTGTTGGTGAGATTTCTATTTTGTGGGGCATGATTTGTACAATACAGGCTATATGAATCGTTCATCACAACCCTTTCCAGCTATTTTTCTCCCACTTGTTGGTTCCTATTCAAACTCTCCTGAGCAATTTCCCTGTGATTCCTGCCGCCGATACGGACTAACAAATCGCCACTGATAACACAGTAGACAGCTAACGTCCACTTTAGCCTGTTGCCTTTTGTTTTGGTTTGAAATGTACGTTAGTGGAAATACAAGAAATGGCATTTGGAAAGAAAATTATTTTCATTCTGTTCTTTCCGTGCTCCTGTTTTATGTAACACTTTTTCCATACTTAACTCATTGTCATCATACACTTTTACTACCACCTTGCCGAGATCTTAATATCAACAACCGACTGAGGAAAGTGGACAAAACGGGCCTCATCACGCATCCAAAAATAGTTCCCCTTGACAGTTTTTCACAGCCAATTGCCGCGAAGGAGGGAAAAAATGCTTACTCTGCCGAGGTAACATCGACCTCCATGGAATAGCGTGGTACAGCTACCTCTCCAAAGAAATAATACTTCGCCCGAGTGTCGGAGCATTATTTATCACTGGCATTATTCCCTCCTTTCACGAATAGACGGTGGGACAAACAGCATGGTAGAAACCTGAGATTGCGGTCTCGTATCATATTCGCAATACCACTCTGTTGAATGGAAGCGTTTCGCTCTGGTGCAAAGGTTGGATGGGCGGGCTGTTGCTGTCTCAGTTTTTTCGTGCGCCAAAACTCGGTGTCCAGAATTTCTTTGTCACGCATGCGTTTGGTTCAAGAGTTGACGCAGCGGGAGTGACTGACATTTCACTGTGCATAGCGGTAATCTTTGTGATAGCAGTGGTGTCAATGGCCAAGTCGTTGTGGGAAATCACACGCACAATCCCGGTGCCAAAGAGCACTGACTGGAAATGACAAAAACAAATTTGCTTTATTGCCACTTACGAAATGGATTTTTATTTTGGTTTGGTTTGGTTCATCAGTCCAGGTTCTTTGAACCTTGCATTTAACTTCCAGTAGGAGAGATTTCATCGAACCTTTATAGCCTGTAGATAAATTGGCTTAATTTAAACAAAAGTTAAAACTTTTCCCAGAGTGTCAGTGAGAGTCATCAGCAGCCACGGATGTGTCAACCGTCCTATTGATTTAATTACAATACTTTTTAAGGTACAAATGAAAAGCAAAGAACTGATGTCATTATTAAAAGCAGTAATTTTATGATAATAACACCATATTTACCCTTTTTATAATGCTACCAGTATAATTATTTTTGAGTGAGCTCTGATGCCACGATATTGCGCATGTATAGTATTGAAGTGAGAGCTTTGCACATCTCTTTGTAGAGGGGGTCACAGTAACTTTAACTCTGGGCATCCAGCGATGATTCCGTGGCCGATGATTACCATCACAAGTTTAACTTTGAAGTATCGGTTGAACAGTGTTGCAGCAGTCAAATATGAAATGTTTATGTGATGCTCTGAGTGGTTGATAACGACTTGTACTAAACCACCCGTTGCCAAGTACCTGTATGTCGATCTGTACCCGTGACATGCCAAAGCACGTTCCGGATGAAGACATTTGAGTGAACTCCGCTCTGGGCACCGTATGTCATCAATTATTTTGATTCTGTCAAAGATGACGTATAACACAGTGGATAATTCTGAATGACAGGTGCAGTGTCACGTTTCTTATGCCGGGTCTTAACTTAACCGCTAGCTAGTACACAAACTACACGTGTTTTGTATTTAAGTCTTTTTATGCATTGTGAATGGAACGTTGGAAAACTGTATAACATAAAACCATAGTTCCAACCGTAATTGTTATGGTTATTACAAAAAATCATAGACTTTTAATAGATTGTTTAACATTAAAACGTTGGCGAATCTTGTTCACTGGATTCGTTCATTTTTTGAATACATAATTATAATATGACTACAATAGAAGAGGACATCGCCTATGTTTCAGTGAACAGTGTTGACGAGTACATTTTGATGTTGTTCCACCTTCGACGTTCTTCCATGGGACTTTGGAGCTTGCATTGGTTGCCTCGGACATATTCAAATGCCTTTTCTTGGCGACTCCTTTTCGTCCTTTCGACATTCACATCTTGCTTGGTACTATTCAGGAGGGGATCGCGTTTCTGCCGGTGTATTGACGCTCAGTTCCATCCGGATCTGGTCCCACGCTGAAGCAGGGCTTCTTGCTTGATTAAATCTTCTTCCTCAAACTTAATCTTTTGTCGTGTTTGCAAGTTATCGGGTTACAATATTAAATGTAAATTGCTCCAACAATTATCGGGAAAGCTTTCATAGAGCAGGCTTTAGCCAGAGTGTCGAGCTAGCTTTGTGCATACCAAACGCTGTGACATCAACGAGCAAATGTGTAACAAGAAAAGTGTTTCAGCTTTCAAATGCACTTCGATGCGTTGTTTGGGTCAACTGTCCTCTTCATCCTTTGGATTAAAGATGCCATTCTTTTCTGAAATTACAACATTTTTTTCTTCAAATCCTAGCCTGGAAAATTTAATGACGTATTTTAGCTTGTGAAACGTTGGATCTTTAAGAAGCTTTACATCTGTCATATGTAATACCCCATCTTCCTCTGCTTTCTTTGCCAATTCAATACGGAGTCGCTTTAATTTCAAACAGCAGTTGTTGTTCAGTGAATACAGTAGAGCCTCTTGGTGTGTATGTATCTAGCAAAGTTTCCATCTCATAATTAATCTATTTTCACTCTCAGCAATGTTGTTTTGTATTTCAGATTTCAGCTGTTGAGTATTGAACTCAAGCCCAGATGAAGTAACATCACCATGATAGAAGACTATGCCCTCGTGCAATGCCTCCCGTAAAACGGATATTAAACAAGAGTGCACGGCCAACTCTACACGATGTTCGATGTACATGTAGATGTATATACTCAATGGAAAGCTAAAATGCCCTCAGTGTGCTCAGTCTTCGGAAATAAATTGGTGTTTTTGTAACATCGGAACACAAGACAAATTGTACCTTTTAAGAGTCAGTAGTGGTCGGTCAAGTGTTCGGAAATATGAAGATAAAGCTTTCATTTCACTAAACAAAACTACAGTGTGTGTATATACACAGGGTGTCGCCCCCAAAAAGGAACCCCTAAAGTAACATTTATTTTCAGCCAAAATAATTGTCAGAAACTGTTGTTTTGGGTATCAAAGTAAAATTGGCAGTGTTTCCTTATACTGATAATATCATTAGGAGTTCATGTTTCGTTGTCGAGATGTTTTCAATTAGGTAACACAGTGCACTTTTATTCTGTCCAAGGGCACCCTTTTTATTATAAATGGTTCTCATTTCCGACCAACCCTATTTTGGGCTCCCGATCACGGAAAAAAGAGCTTTTTTCCCGCCGACCTTGCTAAAAAGACCTAAACCGAAAAAAAACTGAAGGGGAAAAAATTGGCCAGCATGACCTTTGAAAACAAAATCCCTGAAAGTTACGATTTTGCAAATGACCAACAGGTTTTTTCGTTATTTTGTCCCTGGCCAGTAACCTTCACTGTCCAGAGTCCTTAGCAAGCTCACAGGCTTATGTGTACGGCAAAGCGCGGCAGTTGGAATTGCTATAATGACGCTCTTTGCTCAGTTTGCCTGTATAATGGTTGCGCATAGCGTCATACACGCATTTGACATTAAA